CGCGGCAATCATCACCAGAGCGCCGCACGGTTGAAACATTGGCGATGGCACGACCTTGGCGCCGCGATACACTGCGCGGACCGGCGCGGCGGCAGCGCGCGGCCGAGGGCCTCATCCTGAGACGCGCTCCAGTCATTCTCACGCCCGTCTCCAGCGGCCTTCCTGTCGTCGCAGTGCCGACCAGCTTGTTTGGGCGACAACAAGGCACGGCGCCATCGAGAGCGCGGCACGCGGCGGTGCACCCTTTACAACGATCAACAACTCGTTTTTCCTTCGCCTCCTCTCTTGACCTGCCTGGCTGGCCCCGCTCGCGGGCCACCACCGCCGCGAGGAGGCCGAGAATGAGTAATGATATCTCAACAAAGGAGGCGCGACTCGCTCGCGGGGTGAGCACAGCCCTCCTGGCGGAGCCCGCGGCCAGGTAAAGGAAGGCGAAGTGGTGGAGTGAATCAACTGGTGTAAACAGCATTGAGACGCACGCACACGAGGCGCCCGCCCTAACCTAGGCCGCGCCCGCGGTCACGCAAAGCAGCGCGACCTACATTCGGTCAAATGGCCCCGCACAGCCCAGCTACACACAGAGGTGCAGGTGCACCATAGGGCCGGGCCGGCGGCCGGCACCACCAGGGGTCAGGGCCACGAGATTTAAATTCGAAATACCCGGCAATCACGCTACAGCGGCGGCAGCGGTGGTGGAGGCGGAGGCGGTCGCTACTCCGCCACTGCCCCCCGCTCGACTAACTTACACGGACGATAATGTTCTCATAACGACGCGGTGCCTAGGTTAGGGCTGTGAGACATTTCCTTACGCAACACCGCCCAGACCAACACGACGGCCGGAGAATACAAACAAACAGCCTGGCCCCGCGACCAGCTCAACAACGACGAACACGCCGGTCTTCGCATGACCTCTGCGCACACAAGCGTCACAGGATCAATCGCGAGTATAGGTAGTCTTTTTTTTCTCAAATATTTGGCCACTGCGGTTTTCTGAGCAGCTGGCCTGGCCGCAGCACAGGATTGTGCTCAGCGCTATGATTCCCGCAGGCGCACGGTTTTCATCCAACGGGGTTATAGGTCCAGAGGCGGGGCACGGGGTAGAGGG